TATAGAGAACAATGTCTCCAGGTGGCACCAAACATATTTATTAATAGTCCTAAATACTCTCTGCAAAGGGAAGCCAGTGTTCAGTAATTAATGTTTTAGTACCTTATAATTTCATTTGTATTTAATTTACTTATAAGGATTTTATCATACCAAGTAATTTTTTTATTGACAAATTTGTAGCAGATATAACAAGATCTCATCTGACTTTTATTAAACCTAGGTACAACAGAAGTATTATGCCTAACATTGATGACTCTAAAAACATGTCTGTATTAATCAAATTGGCAAACTTTAATACCAGGTATTAATTTTACACTGAATATTTCCCAGTTCATGTAAACCTGAAATTCATTTTGGCCAGTTTTTCTTTCATATCTTAGAGAATTTATATCATTACTTAATTTTCTTTAGTCCAATTAAATAGAGCTCTTTTAAAAATTCAATTTTGATAACATTTTTAAAGATAGAGGCATCTCATATGTATAAATATGCAAACAGACATACACATATCCAGTTAGACAGAGACCTCATAGTTTATCTGCTTGAGTTTTTGAAAAGCCTTTAACAGTTTTTTTTTTTTTTTGGTTTGAAGTTCTACTAATTAGCCCAAGTGCAAAGTCTCAGGCACACTAGACTGTTTGTACATAAGAAGAACCAGTTTTGAAATTTTTAAAGTTTCCCTAAACCAATTTTTTTGGAGTCTACAGAATATTGCAGCCACACAGTGTTATAATACCATCCTTTTTGTTTGTTTGTTTTTAGTCACAGGCTTATAACTAACATCCTTCTAGTCAGACAGAATTCCGTGGTAGAACAGAAACAGAATTTCCCATTTTTCAGGACAGAATGACAATTACAAATCATAAGACGGACACAAAGTACAAAATACACACGTGTATGTCCATCACAGACTGACTAGTACAAACCCTAAGTTCTCAGAGAGCCATAAAGGCTTTCGCTCTTCCCCAACCCCAGAGGCACTGGCCTCATCTCTGTGTCTGGGCCTGAAACAGAGCAGGACCCTGTGAGCCGTCCCTGGTACAAATTCTTTCTGTCCCCCATTTTTTGAAGCCTTTTTGTTCACACAGGCTTCATCCAGTCTGCTTGACCTTCCCTAAGTTCCAAAGGACAGATTCAAGTAGTTGCTCATCAGGGAAGGGAGGGAATGTAGAAGCAAAGGAGGAGCAATCAAGTGGCGCTGGGAAAACTGGATAGCAGCATGTAAATCAATGAAGTTAGAACACTTCCTCACTCCATACACAAAAATAAACTCAAAATGGCTTAAAGACTTTACAAGACACAATAAATTTCCTAGAAGAAAGCATAGGCAAAACATTCTCTGACATAAATCTTAGCAACGTTCTCCTAGAGCAGCCTACCCAGGCAATGAAAATAAGAGCAAAAAAATGACAAATGGACCTAATTAAACTCATAAACTTTTGCACAGCAAAGGAAACCATAAGCAAAACAACAACCTACAGAATAGGAAAAAATATTTGCAAATGATGCAACTGACAAAGGCTTAATTTCCAGAATATATAAACAGCTCATACAACTTAATAATAACAACAGCAAATAATCCAAAAATGGGCAGAAGACCTAAACAAGCATTTCTCCAATGAAGACATATGAATGGCCAATAGACATATGAAAAAATGCTCGATATCACTAATTATCAGAGAAATACAAATTAAAACTACAATGAGGTATCACCTCACACCAGTCAGAATGGCCATCATTCAAAAGTCCAAGAACAATAAATGCTGGAGAGGGTGTGGAGAAAAGGGAACCCTCCTACACTGTTGGTGGGAATATAGGTTGATGCAGCCATTATAGAAAACAGTATAGAGATTTCTTAAAAAACTAAAAATAGACTTACTATATGATCCAGGAAAGCCACTTCTGGGTATATATCCAGAGGAAATTCTAAGTTGAAAAGACACATGCACCCCAATGCTCAAATACTATATACAATAGCCAAGACATGGAAGCAACCTAAACGTCCATCAACAGATGACTGGATAAAAAGTTGTGGTGTATGTATACAATGTGGTGTATGTATACAATACCACTCTGCCATAAAAAATAATAAAACAATGTCATTTGCAGCAACATAGATGGACCTAGATATCATTATTCTAAGTGAAGTAAGCCAGAAACAGAAAGAAAAATACTATATGATATCACTCATATGTGCTATCTGAAAAAAAAAAGAGACACACTATGAACTCATATACAAAACAGAAACAGACTTGCAGACTTAGTAAACAATCTTATGGTTACTGGGTAAAGGGGGTGGGAGGGGATAAATTTGGGAGTTTGAAATTTATAAATGTTAGCCACTACATATAAAAATAGATTTTAAACAAAGTTTCTTTTGTATAGCACAGGGAACTATGTTCAATATCTTGTAATAATCTTTAATGGAAAAAAATATGAAAATGAATATATATATATGTATATGCATGACTGGGATATTGTGCTGTATAATAGAGATAGACACATAATTGTACTTCAATAAAAAAAAAATGATAGTGCAGTCTTGGGACAGGGTCCTGGTTCCTCATCAAGGAATATACATCACAATACCTTTGAGCTCTTCTGTAGGAACTGAGGGTCCCATCCACATGGAGGGTAGTAACTCAGGCTGAGTACAGGTCATGGCCCTGTTACCTCACCACCAGCCAATCAGAAGAAAGTCTGCACACAGTAGAAGATAATGAAGACTCTGACCCTCTCCCCAAATAATTTTTCCTTTAAAAACCTTCATGGTCAAGCAGAATCTTAGGAGTTGGTTTTTGAACATGAATTCTGCCATCTTCCCAGGCTGCCAGCCTTCTGAATAATGCAACCTTTCCTTTTCCAACCAACACTAGTCTCTTGAGTATTGGTTTTTGAGCAGTGAGCAGCTGAACTTGAGTTTGGTAACAAGCCCAAGAATCTGCTGAGGAAGATTGCTATGTTCTCCTGCTACACCTGGGCCAGAGTCTGCACTGCAACCCCAGCAACTCTGCCAAGGCCATCTTTGATGCCATCTCCAAGATCTACAGTTATCGCACCTCACCACCTCTGGAAAGAGACTGTGTCCACCAAGTCCAGTGACCTTAGAGATGTGAACGAAAAATACTGCAAACCATATCAGTAAACAAAGAATGCCAAAGCCATCAAGTCATCAGCCGCTGCACCACCCCCCAGTGAAGACAAGCCTGCAGCCCAGCCTCTGCAGCCACTCACAACAGTGCACTCTGAGGGGACTCAGAATAAGAAAGGACAAGATACTGGCCCTAGATAGCTACATGCTTGTCAAAGGAATGAATTCAATGAGCCTAAATGTTTGCCTCTTCCCGTACATAGAAAAGCACTAAATTCTTTAACTTGAGATGCCTGTTTTTCTTTAGATAACAAGTAATCTTTCATTGTTCCAACTAACTGGTCTTTGTTGTAAAGCTCCTATATATCCTAGCTCCTGCCCTACCTCTAGGGCGCAGTCCCTCAGAGCGATCTGAGAGGCTGTTCTCCTGCCAAATAAAACATAACTCTCAACTTTTAGGCTGTGCATTTATTTCAGTTGATAGTGCAAAGCCTGCAGCAGAGTCCTGCTGATGAGAACCCAGGCTCCAGCTGTGGCCACCACAGAGGGTTTTTAAACAACAAAAATTAAGTGAATTAATTAAACCTGATTTTTTAAAAAATCACCTGAGAGACAGGTTAGCTATACGGATCCTGGACCTCATCATCAGATCTTCCATTTCAACAAGTGCTGCTGCTGTGATGGTTCTCGGAGCACACACACTGAGGCACGCTGAAGGACTGCTTGATTATTATCTGCATTTTTTTTTCGGAGGCTCAGAGGGACTATGCAGAGTAGTCTCATTGCTCCATATTAGCAGGTTACTTGATCAGCTAATTATCATCTTGAAAAAACAAATTTGGCCCCATTAAGCAAGTAAATACCCTAATTAGCACAGACTCCTGGTGGGTGAGGTAGCTTAAGAAGGCTGGGCCAGCAAGTGCAGAATTCTAGCAACTCTGCTTGGAGCCCCATGCTTCCCCTGCCAACTAATAATATTCACCTGCTTCTGTTTGGAATTAATTTTTTTAAACTTCTTTATATCATACATTCAGTTAGTTGTTCTTGTATTCTAACACAAATGTCTCTTTTTCACTTGTACAATTTCAGGCCCTTGATAACTGTCCTCAACTACCAGAATGGTCTTAATGTCCTGCTTTACCTCCTTAGACATTTACTCTGCAAACTCATGAAAGTTCAAAAACCTTCAGAGATTTCCTATCACCAAAAAAGCTCAGACTTCATTAAATTGAAATGTAGATTATTAAGCAGTACTTGATGACTTAAGGTAAAAGGAAATGGCAAGATACAAATTCAAATCAAGTTCTACTGGAGAACTGAAGTTTTTTGAGTACTGAATATATTTTAATTTTTTTTTCCCAGAAAGTGGCCACTAGTTTTTGCAAGGAAAAAAACAATAATAATAATGACACACTTCTTTGGAAATTGTGTTTATATTACCATCTATGTGAAGTAAATCAAGATCCAATTTTACACAGTAAACTTCATGTTTAACTGTGGATTTGTGTTTTGGGTCCATTTTGAGGCTCCCATAGCTTACATCCGTTTCTCAAAGCAGTTCAGGACAATGAAAAGAAGTGCTTAGATAAGCAATTAACAACGCCGCAGGGAAAAGCAAGAGTTTTGCTTTTAGATCTTTCGATTGGTGAGACTCCAGAAAGGGGCGTGTTTCAACCCTCCCCGACACTCTGCCCGCCTGGCCACGGTGGGTCACAGCTCCGGGCTCTGGGCTCCGGAAGGGCCCCCGGGCCGCGTGTATCAGGACGGCTGCGCGACGGTTTTCGGGCGGGACTGCGCGGAGCAAGGTCCCGGGAACAGTCCGCTGGCTCAGAGCTTCGCCCTGCCCGCCTGCAGTCACCGAGGAGGCGCGTCCGTCGCCCCT